CCCCCGCCCACACCCCCCCCCCCCCCCCCCCCGCCCCCCCCCCCCCCCCCCCCCCCCCCCCCCCCCCGCCCCCCCCCCCCCCCAAAAGATGACAAAGCAGAGATGCAGTGAGATGGAGATGAGATGAACGACATGACATGGCTTTTTGAATTATTCAGCGTCTATGATCAAAAGGTATATCCAAAAACACATTCTTCCCGAGTCCAGCCCTATCACCATGATCCCATATCCCCATGCGCCTGAAAGATGCGAATTGTGACCTGCACAAATAATACAAGCCGTGCCCTCAATTGGCCCAAATCTTCGTCTCGGTCGAATTGCTGCCCTTGGCCATCTCTGCGAAGGGACACGCCGATCCCTTCGGCGCAGTGGACGCGCTTTGTATGGACGGCGCCACACTGTGTATGGAAGGCGCCACACCATCTATAGAGGGCGCTATACCGCTAGAAATACTGGACCGGTCATCCTCGGTCGAGCTACCGGAGCTGCTGCCGAGAATGCGCTTTTCGCCGAGATATCCCTCCTGATCCTCGGTATAGTTGAACATGGACATCTCGTCGGCGAACTCTTCACCGTCGCTAGAGTGATACCGGGCGAAGAGATCGTTCTGGATCCAGAGGATCTTGTTGACGGCGCGCACGAGCGCGATCTTGCGTCGCAGCGACAGGTGTGGGTGGGATAGCATGGCTTCGATCCAGATATCTTGGATGTAGCCCAGGCATACGCCGAGGTGAATGTACTCGATGTTGAGAGGTGTTCTGCGTACTTGTCCGCTGTGCATCATGCTGTGTTACACATCAGGTTAGCGTTGCACGATAATCTCACGCCGGGAACGGAAATCTGGGAACGGATAGGGCTGAACTTACCCAACTTTGTTCAAGTACCGCCAGAATTCCATTGTTGTCGGGTCCTGGCATAGACGCGTCAGGTACCAGCGCAGGAACAGCTTGCGGCGCTGAATTTTCGGTGTGTCTTCCTGGAGGTAGCCCTCCTCGGGTTCGGTCTCGTCGACTGTTGTCCGTGTGTGGAAGGCGCGGGATGTGATGTCATATTGGAGAATCTTCTTATATACCAGGTTGACGACTGCCGGGATCAATTGTTTGATGTATTTGTTGCCAGAGAGCAGTGCTTCGATATCGCCTGGGGGGAATGACGTTAGTGGCTGACTCGAGGGTGGTCCATGGTAAAAGCTTACTAGAGTTGAAGTCGAGGAAGCTATGGAGGTACTTGATTCGCTCTTCCAAGCTTGTATAGAGCAGTTTCCGGTCGACATGCATTGGCGCACCAGCCGATCCTGATCCTGATCTGAAATCCATGGCTTCTGACACTTTATTATGTTGCGAACAGCTGGGGTCTTCCTTGTCGGGGTGGGGAAAACGGTTGGAAAGGTAGATCGAGAGTATGAAGGAGAAGATAAAACTGGAGCACCTCGTGGCAAGCTGGCGGATCGAGTATTTATACCATCGATGCGCGATCTCCGTTCAAGATTACTCCGTTCACCGTTCTCCTATATTGGATGCAACACGATTAAATTGAAAGCCACTAAACTATAAAACACATCCTGTTGGGCTCCGCTCCAAGGAATCCTGGAAGGGGACGATCCATGACTCTTACCCAGAAAAGCGACATTACCCGATCTCAGGCGAGCTTTTTCCCTAAAAACTTCGATTGAAGACCCAAGTAAAGTGCTGATCGAATCAGACCATAGGGCGAGATGACTTAGTGACTCTCTAAAGTGGAGTAATCATCTATTTGTAGGAATGTGTGGGCTGATTCCTGCAATCTCCGAACTAGACGAAAAAGCGAAAAAAGCGAAAAAGCGAAAAAAGCGAAAAAGCGAAAAAAGCAAAACTGCACAGCCAAGAACGGCAAGATCCATGGGTGCCGTGCTATCAGACTCGGCAACCTGAAACAAGCGACTAGGAATGTCGAGAATACTGTAGGCTCAACTCTAACCAGCCGGTGAGGAAGCTGTCAGATGCTAGTATACCAGATGGCGTTTTTAGCATGCCGGGGATATAAAACACTAAAGTCACCCATGTTCAACTGTCGCGAACCATTGCCCGTGCAAAGCGAATTAATGCGATTAAATGGATGAATCGGCATTTGAATCTGACTCTTGTTCACTGGCTCCGGAACTCCGCTACGGGCTAAACGGTTTCTCTTAGGACCCGTGATGAAGTGGGTTCCGTTCGGGTCCGACGGGGTTGCGGACCTGGTGATGCTATTCGTGTTGTCTCAGACTGTTGGGTACATATAAATACGTGGTAGACATGCATCGATCGTCCGTTGATTGCCTTGGAAATCAAGCGTTGCATCAACTGCAGTCCCCAGATTGTAACTATCACAATACAATTGGCTCGGCACTTCACAGCGCCCCTTAATAAGTGTAAGCTGTATGCTAGTTAGAGATTGCCGAACCAGTGGATGTGTGGGTCCGAAGGATTGCGACCTCGACGAGTACAAAGTACAGACTGTAATAGGGGGGAATCGGGACTAACAAAGCAATAGCGTCGAAAAAAAAAATCAGGAAACGCCTGCATGTCAACCGACGTGGACCCTCTACCCGTAATGAAATCTACTTTGTACACGCGAACTCGCGTCGTGTGATGACATGGCCTGATGGGATTCTCCGTAGATCGGGAAAGGATAGATCGGATGTGGATATGGCATGATCAATAGTCCGGAGTGAAATCTCTTCGAACTGAGCACATTAGGGCGAAAATTTTTCACGGCCCAAAATTGAGGCCCTTGCCCTGCGAGCTTGGATTCTTTTAATTCTCCGAATAGATCACACGGAGAAAGGCTGTCCTTGTTTTCTCGATCCGGATGTTTCGAAAAACAGCCGCGGTAGACGATCGCTTTTGCCGACTTGGTTCCCCAGTTAGGTCTAGAACAGGACTGGTTCTCGAATGGCCCCCTGGAACCGTTTAGTTTAACGGCTTTATTCCATGGGTGTGGGATTTCTGGGGAAATGTGACAGCGACAGCGGCCCAGGGGTTGTCGAAAATAACCGGCCAGTCACAATATTCCTAATGAAAATTGTGAAAATTGTGAAACGGGGGCGTCAAAGAAAGTGCTGATCGCGGCTCGTCCACGGGCATTTTCAATAACACGGGGGATTCCATTTCGAGACAATGAGCCCATAAAAGATTATATACAAGACTCCATCCTCCGGAGAGTCATCGCTTCCAGATAACCTCGGGTGGCGTCTTCTGCCCACTAATTGCCGGTCGTCGTGGCCCGTGCAGCCGCGGCATCATACAGAGCCTTGATATCCGCCTGCCACTGCTTCACCTGGACTCTGGCCACGCGACGGTCATAGGTAAGCAGTCCGTTGACCTCGCCCTCGACATCGGTCGTCTGGGTCCAGACCCCCCCACTGCATGCGTACAGGCGGATCTGATCCTCGAGCTCGGTCAGGAGAAGGTGACTACGGTAATTCCATGCCTCAATGGTGGTGTCAATCTCGTACGTCTGGTCAATTGTATCGATGGCCGCTTGGTTGTTCCACAGATGCTCCATGGACACATTACTCCCGATGCCGCCGAATTCGCCCTGGAATCCAATCCGGGTGGGATCGTAGGGGCTCGAGGGTGTGGAATAAAAGGGGGTGCCACATTGTGGATTTGCGTAATGGTGATTGTCCTACGAGATGTTAGTGAGCCACGTGGCTGGAGCCTGGGCCACAGGGGCGCATACACTAAAGTCTCCAGCGCCGTGGTCGTCCCAGCCCGTCGTCGAGTCCACAAGCCGAGTGGGGTCCAGCTGTCTAACCCGCTCGGTCAGCTCAAACTCGGGGTAGTATTCTGTGATCTGGCCCCAGGCTTCGTTGTAGATGACCTAGATAGTGGTTAACGTCTGGTCTTTCGGTTTCACATCATGACTTACCCAAGTTACGATACTAGGGAAGCTCTTCAATTGGTTAACCAACAGGTCCAACTGGCGAGTGAACTCAGCCTGCTGCTTCTCGTCCGGTAGGATAGTAACTGAGTTTCCATTTGCGTCCCTCTTGGACTGCGACGGGCGCAGGGAAGGCATGTCCTGGATTACAAGCAGACCGAGCTCGTCGCAGGCTTGATAGAACAGATCGGTCTCGACTTTGATCTACATTCCACGGTGTGAGCGCGAGAAACCATGTGATATGCAACGCGGCGACACTCACATGCTTGCGCACCATGTTGAATCCCAACTTCTTCAACATTTCCAAATCGTACACCATCGCCTCTTTGCTGGGGGGCGTGTATAAACCGTCGGGCCAATAGCCTTGGTCCAGAGTACCGAACATGAAAATGAATTTTCCATTGAGCAGGGGTCGCTCAATTCCGTCAACCGTACCCCTGGAGACTGTACGGAAGCCTATATAGCTCTCCACTAGATCTTCGCCAAGTTTGACAGTCACATTGTACAGGTTTGGGGAGTCCGGAGACCAGAGTTTGGGCGAAGATACGATGAATTGGAATGGCTCGTTAGTGGGGCCTTTGTGGGTTGCAACAGTCTTGCCATCTTGATGGACAGTGACTTCGGCCTGGGCGGATTTCTCCTTAGCAGAGCTGTGTACAGTGATATTTACTACACGGTCAGAATCAAGCAGCATTTCCACAAACTCAGAGACTTACCTTGACCATCCATGTTTGCGTCAAGATCGAGTTGGGTGATGTGATTGGATGGGGCAGCCTCCAGCCAAACAGTTTGCCATATCCCACTGCACGGGGTATAAAAGATGTGACTAGGTCTCAGGGTCTGCTTTCCAATGGGGATCACATAGTCCCCATCGTCGGTAGGATCATGTACGAAAACAAGTCTGTATTCAAAGTCAGATGTGCAGACTGTTTAGGATCCTGAGATACTCACAGCTCATTCTGCTGATCAAACTTCAGGTACTTTGTCACGTCTACCGCGAAGCGGAAGTATCCGCCACGGTGGAAGCCTGCCTTTTCACCATTGACAAAGACAGTGGCTTCGTAGTCTACGGCTCCAAAATTGAGCAGTACCTGTTCACCCTTCCAAGAAGGAGATACCTCGAAGGATGTCGAAAACCAAGAGTACAAAGCCCAATCGCTTTGAATGCCTGCGAATTTATCAATTCTCGATGCTAACGCAGTAAGCAGGAGAGGACCTACCGGACAATCCACTCTCAAGACACGATGGAATCAAAACATCCTGCGCAAGTACCTGCCCAAAAGGGGGCTGCTGAACAGCATCGAGACCTTCGGCATTTTGGTACTTCCACACCCCGTTGAGATTCTTCCATTCAGAACGCTGCAGTAACGGTCGCGGATATTCGGGCCATGGGTTCGTTCCGACTTTGTCGGTCCATGGCGTTGTCAAGGGAGGCTCCTTAAGAGAGTAACCCACACTGCGCGCCTTGTTTTCCTGGTGCTCGGTACTAGGGAGAGCTAGACCAGTTGCCACTAGACACGACAAGAGAAAACTCTGAGCCAAATGCATGTTGACTGGAGAAACTCAGATCTTGGCAGTATACACACACAGTGACAGTTCCAAAGGTCTTCGGAAGATATCACATTTTGGGCATGATCTGGACTTAAATACATCGGACCCTGCTTACGCGGGACTAGCAGACTCATGGCACGGTGAGTCCCTGCATACAACATGGCCACTTGGCAGAGATGCACCCACAAGGGCCAACCCCGCAGGAAGTACACAGGATGCCCGGAAACTCAGATTCACTGAGGACCGGAAGTATGTCGGCCGCTGGCTGTTGTCCGAACACAGGGAGCATCACCCACCGCTTGGCGTTACTAACAGCGCAGGAGCCAAGGACAGCAGCCAAGAGCCGACGGTCGATGCGCGAATAGTAATTAAACTACCCATCACAAGGAATGAGCTGGATCTTGCCTGCTACGGGCACGCTGGGTTCTCGAGATAGGTGGAAATTGCCGACGTGCAATAATAACTGTCTCTCGGCAGTTCCAGGAGCGACAAATAACAGCAGGAAGAGGTATTCCGTATTCCACGGAGCATTTCGCGCCAGTAAAAACACGAGTCACGCGACAGAACGTTCGGTCTGAGCCGACTGCTCTGCCCAATACTGCGAGAATATTAACGCCGATCGCAACACACGGGCGACAGCCGATCTGGCTTTACCCCAGACATGCATTTCCCGTGCAAGGAAAGTAATATTGCTTGCTGTCTCATCTGTTAGCGGAGATATGCAGCGCATCTGCATATCCAAGTCAAATCTAAGAATGAAGTCATGTTTACATCGAATGATTTGATCTTGCATTGCTAGTTCAGCAAGGATCATGTTTCCTGGCCAATCCCTTGCGTCCGGATTGCATGGCACACCAGCGTCCCCACCCTGAGCGGGATATATATTTGACACAATGGTCTGGCCATAATCTGATCTCGATATACTTACCATTCACTCGCTCCTCACAATGAACTAGCATTGCCCTACCCCGCAGACTCCGATGACGTGGTAGCTTGAGGTTGTATCAGCTTTCAATTTAAGAATCCGAATGGCCGCCCTGTCCCTCAGAGTCAGGCTTGGCGCGACGATCCTCTCTTCCCTATTGGCGGGTTGTTTTGTCCGTTGCTGTCCGCTTAAGCCCAAGACGTTGGCTAGTTTTTGGCTTCGTTCTTCCCCACGTTCTACGAGCGGGGCTTATGGTGAGTTGAGTCGATGTTCCAATCATATATTCCGAACTTGGATGATGGGAATCGTGGTGTGATAGAAAAATACATAACCAGCTTTTAAGCAAATGAATACTTTGTCCTTGATTTTGGAGGGTTCTTATCTCTAACCGATCTATGTATGACCTTTCCTGACTGGCTAAGAAATTCACTTCTAACGGCTGACGCTAGCAAGAAAACCTCATCGTAGGCTAGTGTCGGTTATGCCAGCCTTAATTCGGAATACGTACATGTGGCAGATTACTTGTATATTGTATATTGTACTAGAAAGTAACGTAACGTCGGCAGTGGATTTCTTTTGCAAAAAAGAAAATGATAGATGGTGTTGCTGTGCAACGGGCTCGGTTACAGCCGGCAATATTGTACAGACGGACAATCCGATTGCGAAAGATGGTAAGAAAAGCCCAAAATCCCCAAAATCCCAATGTGAACTAATGTATTGCGGTAGATAGGACATACTACTGTGTAGTACGAGGGCTTTTAGGGACCATCACGACAACCGGCCTAATCGGGTTACCGCTTAGGGCTAGTTTTTTTTGCCGGTTGGGCTATTCTGCCCAAGTTAGCCGATTACATATTCACCGCATTAAGACTAATTATTTTGGAGTAGGATAAAAATAAACTGGTCACGTGATATACACACACACGAGGTTATGATTTACTTGCTTCGCTTCGCTCCGCAATTATACTATACTCCGAAGTATGAAATAATTTGAGTCAAGGGAATTCTTGCTGGTACTAGATGCTCACATCCCTAGCCTGAATTTTCAGTACGGCCTTCCTAATTTGGTAATCCCTATCGGCACAGTCCTAATTTGGTCGAGAACCGGGTACCTGCCTGGACACTTGGTTCTGCCTACCGCTCTCTCACCGCTTCCAAACTTGCACACGGCGAAGTATGGCAGAAATATGGCATAATTCTGAGTTGTACCCGATCAGGAAGGCGGTATTGGAATTTCAGGCCGAGCATCCGGTACGGGCAACAATTCCCTTAATTTAAATTGCTTCAGATTCATAGACCAGATGGTCCCTAAATAGCTTCATCTCTTCGGGCATTATCAGGCATTAATATTACTCCTCCTGAGGATAAACTTTGGCACCTAATCGTGTCGAAAACACATACCGTGTGTTGGCGCCTGGCAAGTTGGTTAGGCGGTATTTTTTTTTTCTCCTAATTTTCTGCCCGGCAAAAAAAACCCATTGTCCTGATGGTCCCAAAAAGTCCTCGTAACTGTGGTTGATTTGCGCTTTGAGGCTGGCGAAATGGTTAAACTATAGCTGTCGACTGAAGAAGAATTTACCTCGTGCCAAGCTTCTCATCGTGGCTATAAATAAACTTGGTGGGCATTTCCATGCCTGGACCTAATAACGCGTAATATTTGATAACATTCAAAAGCAATAATATGATATGAAGATATTATTCTGCGTTCCTTTCAGCGTGTTGTATCATATGTGTGGTGTAACGGGACATGGTGAGACAAAGCCAAGATCCGTTAGGAATTGTAGATGCTTGACCTGTGATCATATGCATCTGGCCCATTGAGTAGAAGATAGTCGAGATATCGTGTACCAAAGAGCCAGAAGATAACGGCGCAGATCCCAAAGTATCTAGCTAAGGGATTTGCCTGTATCTAGGAGTTTGCGAGTGGCGAGCGGCATTTGGTAAGTATTATCTAGTCCAATCACATTAGGAGTTCTCCGAAATCCCAGGGAACACTCAGAATCGAACGATACAATCCCCATCTTCTCGTCAGCATAGTGACCGCTCATCTCCATCGGGATTGAATTGATATCGGGATTTGGGTGGAACAATCCGGGAACGTTTTGTATGACCCCGGGATTAGGGCAGATCACCGAAGTTCTACAATGATCAGGTCCACTTATCTATCATGGCGTGATCTGTATCAAATTTAGCCCTAACAGACCCCGGGCTTATCATATGTAGGTATGTATTGGCTTTAATGCGGATTATCGAACTTCCGGGACTATCTTCTCTCGTGACACTGCATTGAAGCAAACCCCGTGTTGACTTCCCGAGTTGCACTTTACTGCCAAACATGGCGACGATTATAGAATTACTCCCCGAGTCCGAGAGCTTCCGAATCTCATGATGTTACTCCTCTTGTACTTCGGGGTTTGGGGATGTAGACTATCATTTCAAGCCAACGTATGAGGCCGCTGGAAGTGTTATAAATTGAGGATCTCCCCAGGCTTAAGATAAGGATTTCCATTCTACACAACAGTCTTCAAAGCAAACACTCGTCAAAGTACAACAAGCATCTCAACATGGTTACCGTTCTCAAGAAGTACAAGGCCGCAGCAGTCAATGCTGAGCCTGGCTGGTTCGACCTTCAGGAATCCGTCCGCCGGACAATCCACTGGATCGATGAAGCAGGAAAGGCTGGCTGCAAGCTGATTGCTTTCCCCGAGCTGTGTTAGTATCACAGTCCCAAGTACCGGATGCAATGTACTGACAAGATGAATAGGGATTCCCGGTTACCCCTACTGGGCTTGGAAGGTGACCTACCAGGAGAGCCTGCCCTTGCTGAAGAAGTACCGCGAGAACAGTCTCGCCTCCAACTCGGAGGAGATGCGCCGCATCCGCGAGGCCGCCAAGGCCAACAAGATTTGGGTGTCTCTTGGATACTCGGAGCTCGATCTCGCCAGCTTGTACACGACTCAGGTCATGATCAGCCCAGCTGGAGATGTCATCAACCACCGTCGCAAGATCAGGGCCACCCACGTCGAGCGCCTTGTTTTCGGAGACGGCACTGGCGACACTACCGAGTCGGTGATGGACACCGAGCTCGGCCGCATTGGACACCTGAACTGCTGGGAGAACATGAACCCCTTCCTCAAGGCGTACGCTGCCTCGCTCGGTGAGCAGGTGCACATCGCTGCTTGGCCTCTGTACCCCGGAAAGGAGACCCTCAAGTACCCTGACCCTTACACCAACATTGCCGAAGCAAACGCAGATGTATATTTCCCCCTTCTTTATTTTTGCAACGACTTGATCTGATTACTGACAAGACTGCTCAGCTTGTTACCCCTGCTTACGCAGCCGAGACCGGTACATTCACTCTTGCCCCGTGGCAGACAATTACCGCCGAGGGAATCAAGGTCAACACACCTCCTGGAAAAGAGCTTGAGGACCCCGAGATCTACAACGGAAATGGCCGTATCTTCGGTCCCGATGGACAGAACCTCGTTCCCCACCCCGCCAAAGACTTCCAAGGACTTCTTTTCGTTGACGTAAGTGGAGAATATTTTTGTTCTATCAGAATGTCAAACTAATTGATCAAACAGATTGACCTCGACGAGATCCATCTGAGCAAGGCTTTGGCCGATTTCGGCGGCCACTACATGCGCCCGGACTTGATCCGTCTTCTTGTCGACACCAACCGCAAGGACTTGGTCGTGCGCGAGGACAAAGCCAATGGTGGTGTCATTTACACCCGGACTATTGACCGCGTCGGACTTTCTCTTCCTTTGGATTCGTCGGCTCCTGAGCCTGAGACCGAGAACTGAGTCTCAATTCGAGAGTATGTAGATCTATTTGCTGGACTCTAGCAGATATGTGTATTGTATGACAGAAGACAGAAATACCAACTTATTCACTCTTTTACCTTTTATCCATAGTTTGAGTGCAACTTCCTTTTGCTCTGTCACCTGAAAGAGGTTGAGCCGAACTGCAGTGACTTGGTTCAGACCTCGAGGGCCCAGACCCGTGAAACGCGTGGACATTCCGTTCTCTCAACATTCTTCACATTCTCATGCATTTTTTCTTATACCTC